ACACATTATACACAACACACATTATACACAAACATACACATTATACACAACGCACCATTTATACATACACATTATACACAACACACACATTATACATAACACACATATTATACACAACACAAACATCATGTTATCCACACACACACATCATATTCACACATAAGGTGTTGAGGGTGGGGGTATGGAGGGGGAAATATAAGACACATGTAGTAGTAGTAGTATAACTATTTTCCTCTTTCTCTTTCACATTTGAAATCTAGAACGAAGATCGCCAATGTTATTTCCGTCTTGGTTGTAAACACGAGAGAAAAAGAGAGAGAAAGAGAGAAGGGGTGGAATAAGACGGTGAGTTTTAACGAGACGACATTTTAATTAGAATCCTCAGCTTAGCTTTTGCAAACCGATGCCTGTTAGTTGATCCTCATTCTCCTCTTCCTCTTCCTCTTCCTCCCTCCTTTTTCTCCCTTCCACTCACCTCCCAGACTGATACTAAAACTAGAGAGAAAGAGAGAGAGAGAGAGAGAGAAAGAAAGAGGAAGAAGAAGGAAACACATTTTGGCATCGTTGAGAAACTTATTTTCCGTTAAAATTTGAATTGAATTGAATTGAATTTTCCCAAAAGTTTAAATCTAATATATTATTTCGTTAATGTTTAAAATAATATTTATTTATTTTTTCTTTTTTTTTTTCAGATACTTTAAACTCAGTTAATAACCTCTTCTTCTTCTTGTTCTTCTTCTTCTTCTTCTTCTTCGTGTTTTTTTTTTTTTTGAGAGATTTTGTTCTTAAATTAACTCTCACGAATTATTCGAGTAATTTTTTGTTTGTGTCCTATTCGATTATCGTTTTGTTGTTAATTTTCAATTTTTTTTATATTATTAGATTTATTTATTTTATAATATTATATACGATTTTTGTACCAATCGATCAATGATATATATAAAAAAAAAAAGAAGATATAGGTTAATTAAATTTGAAATAAATTTATCGGTAAAAGTATATTGGGGGTCCAGTAATTTGTTAAAAAAAAAAAAACAATTTCTAATGAAAACAGTATAAAATTGATATTATTCATTTTATAAATAAATAAATAAATAAAACAAAAGTAAAACAAAAAATATATTTTTCATCATACAATTTGATTAACACGTGCACGCCGGTTCGGTACCACCGATGACTCGCGCTAAACTGTCCCATCGGGCGGCGCGTACCACCGATGGCTCACGCTAAACTGTCCCATCGGGCGGCGCGTACCACCGATGGCTCGCACTAAACTGTTTCATCGGGCGGCGCGTACCACTGGTGGTCCACCTTGGTCC